ATAGCTAAAGTGTCAGTGAAAGTAAGTATTATTGGAAATACATTTTCAATTTAAGAAAATGTTAACCTGTAATTGTGGGCTAGCCAGTGACCTATAGAATAAAATTATGATGTCTTTAGACTTGTATTCAACAACCGGAAATCCTACTTGCCTTACCATTACCAAGAGCACATTGCTTGGATGGCTTTAGAAACTGAACATCTAGAACACCGAGATCCTTTTCTTCCATAAATTGTTAAGGTTATTCCCATCAAAATTATACTCATAAATAAGATTATGATATCCCACATGCATCATCATGCATTTATTATAATTAAAATCTATCTGTTGTTTATTTACCCACCTTCCCTAATAATCCAAGTCTTTTTGTAAAGCAGTAACATCTTCCTCATAGATAGCAACACCCAAAACTTTAATGTCATCAGTAAATATAAATAATCTATTGACCATTGTTCCATCTATGTCATTGATTTGGTACTCCACTTGTGACAGTAATCCAGTATGATTGAACTCCATTTATGACAACCTTCTGCTTTTTTTCCATCCAGCGAGTTTTCTGTTGAATGAGCCAATCTATCCTCCACACCTACACAGATAACTTTTTTAACAAGCCTTTTATGTGGCACCTTGTCAAATGTTTCCTGAAAATCCAGATACACCAAATCCTCACCTATATCCTCATCTACACAGGTATTAACATCCTCAAAGAATACCAAAAGATTAGTTATGCAAGATTTTTCTCTAGTGAAACCATGCTAACTGTCTGCAAAATCTTAAAATTTGTTAAATTACTTTGCATCTATTACCAGACTATCAAAAACCTTTCCCATCACTGATGAAAGAATTATAGGCCTATAATTACTGTGACAGTTTAATCACTTCCCTTGAAGAGTAATATTAACTAATTTCCAATCTTCTGCCACCTGACTATTGTTCAAGAAGTTAGAAAAAAAAAAGACTCATATATTCAGTCTTCAGCCTTCTTTTAACCTCTTGAGGAAATATTATTGACCAAGGATTTTTATCATTCTTTAAACTTCCCAATTCTCCCTTAAGGAACTCAGTATCAGTGTGATAACCTTTTTTAGCTATGGCATAGGGACTCATAGAATGGCTCTGAGTTTTTTTCAGGTACAAACTTTTAGCTCATAGCTCTGTCATCTCCTGTCCAATTTGAGATATAATTACAGTTTTGGACTCAGGAGGTCAAACCCTTTCAATTGATGTATTTGACCACACACAAGGTCTCATAGATTAATTTACTATAATCCTGCCTAAAATAATTTCAATTTGAGGGTAGCTGGTAGAGATCCTGATTAGTAATAAAACTGAATCTGGTATATGCACACCCCACACTTGGTATTGCTGGCACAAAAAACATATGGCTAATAAAAAAATGAAAAAATAGATCTTATAGATTAATTTACTCTAATCCTGCTTAAAAGAATTTCAAGTGCCATGGCTGTTGAGGATTCCCTCTTGTTTCAGTCTAGCAAATGTTTTGGATGATAAATATCTTCATTAGTAAAAATTGAAGACAAGTAGAATTTAATAACCCAATTATCTCATGATCATCAGAAATGAGCCTTCCTTTGTCATCCCTTAAAGGCCCTACTCCCATCCTAACATTTAGTTTACCTTTGGTGTATTTAAATAAACCATTACTGTTAATTTTTACATTTTCATTATTTTCTATTTTCTCTAGTATTTTCGTAATATGGTTCAGTCTAGTGTTTCATGGAGTAGTTTTATTGTGTCCTATTTTACTTTGTGCATGTAAGACTGCTGTACCAATTTTGCATGGAGCAGAGGTATTTCTGGTTACTTGAAATTCAATTATCTAATTCTTCAGCAACAGAGAAAGTGAGAATATGACAGCAGTTTTCCATTTTCAACTAGAATCTTTTTTTGACCTGAAAGAGTCAAGATTTCCTGTGCAATTATCATTCATCATTTCTGTCTCTGATGTCTGCAAATCTTGTGTGTTTCATTACAGTTAACCAGCCAGGCTATCCTTGCTTTATTTTCTCCTCTTGTACCTTTACTTAAAACAGTTTTACCTGTTTGAACAACTTTATCACAATAGTTCTACACTAACTTGCCCATCCATTCTTCATTTATCCTTTCTTTGGAAAATAGAGTGTTTTATTTATATTCATAATTCATACCTTGCCTTTTCGTTTTCATTCTACATGCAAAAGTCACTTCGCATTTCATATACTGGGTTTGAAAATCTGTTGTTATTGCAAAAATCAAGTAACTGATCGCTTGGTTTATTTTTGGAATACTGCACAGTGACAATTTTGGTGGGGATGTTTAGAAATTTACAATTTTCTAGGGATACCAAAGAGAAAAAAAATTTGCTTTGAACCTCCTTTTCCAAATGTGGATCAGTAGAGGTAGCCATTTACCTGTTTTACTACCAAAACAGTACCTTAGTAGTAAAATTAACTTCAAAGCAAATTAACATTTTTAAAACAAACCTTCTTTGCCATACAGACAAACAAATAAATTATAAGACTTTGAAAATTTATAAATAGAAAAGTAAATAATGCTAAAACTAGTCTAGTGAAAATAATAAAGGTTTCATTGATGATAAATAAACTCAGAAAAACATATACCAGTTAGTGAAATCCTGTGTTCTTAAGGGAATTCCAAGACCAGGGGTCACATAGGCATTTTTTGAACAGTTTTTTCTTGCTAGAAGACAACGTGAGACTGAAGAAGATGCATGAATGTGTCAAAATTAGTTTCTCTAATATCAGACTTCTGACAGTTTGTTCCGTTTACTGTAGTTTTTTCACTAATTGCCATACACGATACTGTGTTCTTTTATTATTATTACATATACCAGTCTTCAATAATTGAAAAGGATATTTAGTGTACCAAATGCTTGCTTGAAAGATTTTTTACCAAGAAATGTGTTTGCGATCTGGCTTAGTGGTTAATGTGTGGAGCTGTGGATCAAAAGGTCCAAGGTTTAAGCAACAGATTCCTATTGAAAACACTCCACACCCTCAACGATAAGGGGCAATATAACTGTTACAGTAAGTCCTAGTATGTGGTTAAGAGTAGCTACATGCTATATAGATGATAGGTGCTTCTGATTGGTGGTCCTTCCTCTGGTCAGAAGTTTTACGTTAGGGATAGCTACATCTAAACCTTGGGTGTATCTGACCTAGCCATTTAGTCCATGCGTGTCATAAGGTACCATTAAGGTTGAAATTATCATTCCCAAGTAATCTTTAACCATTTGATTTTTACACTGATTGAAGTTCATATAAGATGATGCTGATTTACAAAAGGATTTAGATCATTTAGTG